CGACCTCAGCAGGAAGTTCGTGTCTGAGTCGGAGCTCGACGAGAGGAGGAAGAAGAGGCAGGAGGAATGGGAGAAAGTCCGGAAGCCCGACGACCCGGAGGGTGGGAGCGGTGCATCCAGAAGACCCGGATCAGGCCGGCTGCAGCCCATTTTAACACATGTTTGTGTCTGTGTGCTCACCAGAGGTCCCGGAGGAGGAGTACGACTCCCGCTGCCTTTATGACCGGCTGCAGGAGCAGAAGGAGAAGAAACAGCAGGAATTTGAGGAGCAGTTTAAGTTCAGTAGGTCCATTTATTCCCACTATACTAGAGCATTTTATTGTAAAAGTCCTTAAAGTGTGGATAAAAGTATAAAACTTTAAACGGTCATCCCTCATTAATTTCAGGATGGCGGCCATCTTGCCTGCCATTTCTGAGCCTTTATAACTAATTATTGCTATAAAATGTTACCCATTTGGATAACTTTGATGAACTTTATGACTTTGGTCATCCTATTTATAGAATTTATAAGTAATATGAAGCAAAATCAGCTGCTGAAAATGAGCCATCATCCTCCTACCACTCCTTGTCAACTCCTTCGTCTCTTCCGCCATTAGTAATACCTGGTTGTTGGTCACATGTTTTGTGTGATGCGACAAAAGTCTGCAGTTTTTACGAAATACAGTTGAAATACAGCTGAAAAACCACCTCAGCCTAGATAGAAAAAAAAACATCTGTTTATCAAAAACGGGAGCTTTTTCAAAATGGCCGTATTTCCAATGAGGAAACTTATTTTCATAATTCTAATTTGCATAATTTTAAGGTAAATGGAAACACAGCTACATTCTTAATTGTTAGCCTTAGCTTCTGCTAATTTTGTGTTTAGCGTTAGCATCCAGTAATTTTCTAGTGATTTAGCTTTAACTTAGCTAAGACTCTTGTTTAGCGAGTTAGCTGTTAGTGAACCTAACTTGTACAATAACCACTGTAGATTTTAACGCTAACGGAAATTTTTCATTACAACGATGGCAGCCATTTTGAAAAGTGTCCTCCAGAAAAAGGAAACATATTGGATTTCTATGTTTTAAAATATGTAAGCTTTGATTTGGCACTAAACAAAAATAATTGGTAGACAGTGAAACTATGTTTTCCATTTGCTAAACACCAGAAAATTTGGCGAGAACATTTTTCTTTGTAAATTTGTTTTTCAATTTAACTTGAGCAGGAAGGTAATTTACCTTAACATATATTTGGATTGTTTCAATGTAATTAATATTTAGTATTACTAATTTTTCAATTATTTATTAATCTGTGTAATTGAAATAAAGGTTGGCGCATATAGATCATAAAACAACATTAAGGATTTTTTTGTTAAATTAACGTTTTGTTTTTGGACCAATCAAGTGTAAAAGGTGTGAGAGACATTTCAACACATAACATTTGTTTTATTTTAGTTTACGTTGTCCCTGCTGTAGAATACAGAATATCATACTACAGTCACAGTAATGGTAATAAATGATGTATTACAGTGAATTGAAACTGTATGTTTTTAGTTTATGTATATTGTTTTTATCTCCAAAGTGCGGTGCTGTAAAAGTTTGAAAACTTACCTTGAAAATGCCTGAAAAATGTTTGATTTTTACTGTTGGAAAGGTGAACAAATGCTGTAGACAGAGGTCACTATTCGTTTTTGGTTGTCTCAGATTAATGCCGTTTCTGTCTTGCCGTACGCTGACAGGAAACATGGTGAGGGGTCTGGACGAGGACGAGACCAGTTTCCTGGACGAGGTTTCCCGGCAGCAGGTCCTGGTGGAGAAGCAACGCAGAGACGAGGAGAAGCAGGAGCTGTTGGAATACCGAATATCCTTCACAGATTTAACTCTTTTTTATAATTATTAACAGTATTATTCATCACTTTGTAATTTTAAAGTTGCAGAAGGATGTGCAAATAGATTCAGTTGTTTGCAAAACGTCTTTCTACTGACAATAATTTGATGCTGATGTGTTAAAAAATAAGTATTTCTATTTGTAAAACCAATATCTATCATTTTTCAAAATGCTGAACAATCCTCATTTTATTCTCATATTTTTTCAACCTTATTCTCATAACACTGTTATTTTTTTAATATTGTAGTAATCTGGTGTTTTTACGACTTTTTATCTTGATTATTCTCATATTCCAACTTTATTTTAGTATAATTACGACTTTTTTACTTCTATTATCACAACATTATGCTGGTATTTTAACAACTTTATTCTCTTTAATTGTGACTTTATTCTTGTAATTTTATTACTTAGATCTCATACAACTTTTTTGTCGTAAAATTATGACTTTTATTGTCATAAACCTTCATCTCAAAATATTAGAAAATTATAAAAACCTTATACATTATTTTTTTTATTTCAGTAACTTAAACTTGTATATTATTTATATTTGTCACACAAAGTTAGATATTTCCAGCCTTTATTATTATTATTATTATTAAACTTTTTAATTATTATAAATTAGGGATAGTGAAAGTCTAAAGTTATATTTCAAAAAATTTAAATATTGAGAAAAAGTTAAATATGTGGACCTCGTGGTGTCACAACCTAATCAGTTAATTAAATCTTAAATTAAAATGCTTTTTGCTCCTTTAAATGTTCTCAATCTGCCTCAGCTGTCTGCTGAAGAAGTCACAATAGTTCATTACGAAAAAAGCCTGAATATTCACAGAAGGTTTAGTGGAAGGAAAAAGTTTAACCTGAAATTTTAAACGTGTTGATTAAATTTGATCCATCCCCGTTTGATCTCCCTAACTCTCCACCATCACAGCGCTTTGGTCAAACAAGCGTCAGCATCCGCGGACAGTCGGAGAGAATCAGAAAAGAAGGCGGGGCCTAAACAGACGGGGGCGGAGCCAAAGACCAGCCACCTGTCTCAGGCTCATTTATTAGTGGGAGCTGTGAAGAGGCGCAGGTACGAAGTTCTTCAATGGTTTTACTGAAACATGGAAATTACTCATGGAAAATAGAAAACTGAGAGTGGAAAAGATTTTGGTTCTTAATATTCATTTCTTATTGTTTTAATAGATTTCAAAAGTCTGGATTTCAAAAGATAAATGAATATATGACGGGGAAAAGGAACTGGATTTCAACTGCTTTCCATTTTTCTTTGTGAATAATCCTGTTTTAAAATTTCAAAAATGTTCACGATTCAAATTCCAGTAAAGTAAAGATAATTTGAACAGGATTTTCCATAATTTTCCATGATAAATTAGTCCCAGAGTTTCTCCTTGGGGTGTGGGGGCTTCTTCTTTTCCTCTTTCCCCTTATATTTCTTACTTTTTCTTTGTTTGTTTCCTTCTTTCTTTCTTTCTTGCTTCCTTTCTTTCTTTGTTTTTTTCTTTCTTTGTTTCTTTCTTTCTTGCTTCCTTTCTTTCTTTGTTTCTTTCTTTCTTTGTTTCTTTCTTTCTTTCTCTCTTTCTTTCCTTTGTCCTTTCTTTCTTTCTTTCTTTCTTTCTTTTTTCTTCTTCTTTCTTTTTCTTTCTTTCTTTCTTTCTTTCTTTCTTTCTTTCTTTCTTTCTTTCTTTCTTTCTTTCTTTCTTTCTTTCTTTCTTTCTTTCTTTCCCCAAAATTGTGTCAAACTGGGTTTTTCTTTGTGTTCTTTAAAGTCTTTTTTTGTGATGAGTGTTTTAGGAAACCATTTCTGAAGCTTCTCCTCTTCTCTTCTTTCTTCTCAGCTCCTCGCAGTCGTCAGACGGCGGCAAGAAGCCGAGGGTGGAGAACACGAGAGGAATTGGAGACAGACTCGCAGGTGGGCATCGGTCTGACCGGAAAAATGAATGTTTTGGTTTTTAGCAGCAAAGATGCAGAAGAAGAAACCATTCGGAAGAAAAGACACGATGACTCAGATTTGAAAAAGGAAGGATGATCTCAGAAAGGAAACGAGAAAAGAAGGAAACTAGTTTTCGTATCGTTCTCTGGTAAAAACCATAAAATGTTCACTAAAAACCTCAAATGAAAGAAAGAATGTGTTGTTTTCATCAAAACATTGTAGGTATTTTGTGCCTAAATGAAACTTTTTCTTCAAATTTCCTGTTTTTATCAATCTTTTTGAAGTAAACGGCGGCGTTGATTGTGACTGTTTTCCTATACAGAGGAGGATGGAGGCAGCAGGGAAGCTGAGGACCGCCGAGCCGTCCCCGGCCTCACGGCGAAGACGCCGCCGTCGGCCGCCCACGGCATGCTGCACCTGCCGTCGGCGGCCGTGTGCGTCGGCGTCTTACCGGGGCTGTCCGCGTACTCTGGCAGCAGCGACTCTGACAGCAGCTCAGACAGCGAAGGTAGCGTGGACGCAATCATGTCGCCGTATCCGCGGCACAACAGGGCCTACAGATAGACACACACTCACTCACCCACCCACCCACAGAAACACTAAGCGAAGCGCTCAGCTGCTGCTCCATAGCCGCACATCACTGTAAAAGTCCTTCAACTGTGGATACAAGCATTAAAATTTGCTTTCAGCAGGTAAATGGCAGCCATCTTGAGCTATCAAGATGAGTACCATTATTTAATATTTGCAAATTTAGTGCAAAAATAAAATTTCCTTGATGAGCACCTTAAAAAACGGCAGCCATATTAAATTTTTCAAGATGGCTGCCGTTATTAGATATTTGCAAATTCTCCTTAATGACCGTCTTGAAAATTTGCAGCCATCTTTAATTTTCCAGTGGCTGCTGTTGTTTATTTTTCTCTCCAAGAATTAATCCGCTGGGATTAACTGTGCCAGTTCAGGTTCTTGTATCTGCATGTGAAAGATTTTGCTGAAATCTTGAGTTACCTGCTGCAGCTTGTAGAGGTGTTCACTCCGTTCCTCTCCCAGCTGTGAGTTTAACTGTTTCTCTTTGTCTCCAGACAAAGTTCAGCCCTAAATCTCTACCTAATCTGTGCATCATTTCATGTTTTTTCATCAACGTGGCTCTGAAATGTGACTCCTTCCCTCGATCACGTCTCACGCAGTTTAAGCCGACCCCCCTGACCACAGCGACTGCAGGCTGTGCTATTGGCTGAGGGAACAGAGACTGACAGCTGTGGAGCGAAGAAGAGAGGCCGCTTTAGGACTCACTGTAGGATTTTACGTTTGATGTGTTTTATCATCAGAGGAAACTGCTTTCTGTCTCAGATGTTGAAATATTCTGTGTTTACGGACAGATTTGTGAGAGTGTGTGACAGAATAACGGCGCTCCCTGAAACTGTCGTATTGTAATAAACTGATTTATCGAATCAATCGGATGGTTTTTTTAAATTAATTTCAGGATTTGAGGTTAATTTTCTGCACAGATTCAGTCACAAAAAATGAAAACAGGAAAATTTTCAAATGATTTTGTTTTCTGGTTACTTAATTTATTAATTAGTAGTGTTTGTCTTTTTTTTGTTGCTTTATGTCCGTCGTTCTTCGCCTTTTGCTCGTTGTGTCCTACCGCCTTTACTTCCCTTCCTCATGCCCTTTCTTCTATCCTTGCTTCCTTCAGTCCTTCTTTCCCTCCTTGTGTCTCCAGAGGCTTAATCATAAAATCAGTTAAATATTAAAGCACCAACATTGGGATTAATCAGTATATTTATCGCCTAGCGCCACATTGAAGGTAATAAAGCTCTTAGTCTACATCTGATCATTGCACAATAATCAGGAAACTTTTTTAAAAAATATGATGCTGCCTGTAAAAACATATTAAAGCTGCTTTTATTCTTTAATAAACATTAAAAAAATTTTAAACTCTGGTACAGAGAACCCACACAGAACTGCATTTCCTGATGCATCTGAAACATTTCTTTTAAAACACGTACAGCAGGAAAAACGTACAAAACCATCAAATCTCCAAGATAAAGAGAAAAAATTCTCAACTGGTAAACTATGGTACGCCGTTTGTAAAGTTACATAATGAAAAATTAACAGCTATAATTTGGTTTATTTGTCCTGCCAGAGAAATAAAATGTGGGTGTTCAATCTTCTAAGTCATGTCTTAGCCATATTAGTAATACTTTTATAAATGTCAAAGCCCCAAACTAAATATTTAACTTGACATCTAAGTATTTGCTAAATGTTTAGCTTTCAAGTTAAATATTAATTTCAATAAATATTCAAACTAAATGTTGAGTTTGTGAATTCAACATTTAGTTGGGCAGCTAAATAGTTAGAAAACTAATTTTTGTTTTACAAAAGTCAGAAAACCAAGTTAGTTGGGAACCAGATATTTAGCTTAAAAACTAAATATTTGGTTCCAAACTAAATATTTATTTTAAAACTAAATATTTATCTTCCAAACTCAATATTTACTGCCAATCTAAATACTTTAAATTAAAAGTGAAATATTTAGTTTTAAAACTATTGCAAAAATATTTCATTAAAAAAGTAAATATTTTACTTCCAAAATATTTTGTTCCAACAAAAATATTTCATTAAATCTTTAAGCTAAATATTTAGTTGGAAAGCTACTTTTAAGCTCATACTTAAAAGGAACTAAATATTTAAATTAAAAGCAAAATATTTAGTTTGGAAGGTAAATATTTGGACATTTATAAACATGAATAAAATGGTGGAAAGAATGACTTAAAAAGTTACCCACAGTTTTTCCCTCTGGCTAAGTAAACCAAAACATTGCTGTTATTTTTTTATGTAATCTTACAAACGGCGCTCCATACAAAACATGGAACCAGGTGTGTCCTTCTATGAATATTGGACTTTTTGGGAAATAAACATGGCAACGCAAGTCCAATCAGTCGACGCTCTGTGGATCTTCTGTTGGTTTCGGAGTCAACAGATACCGCAGAGCCCAGTGTAGCAGAGACGCAGCCACTCGGAACTGGCTGAAGTCCTGGAGGTTCTGACCCGACACTCTGTATTTGTAGGAGAACGGTCTTCCGTCGCCATGAGTGCCTCGGGTCATTTTCGGGGGGGGTCCGGTCTGTTTTGGACTGTCCTCGTTTCTGGAAAATCCAATCTGGGAGTCAAAGAGCCAAGATGGCGGACTCCCACTGACTTCTTCCTCCTCTTCTTGTTCCGCTTCGCATCGCTTCCTCTTGGGCTTCCTGTAGCTTCCCGGAACGGTGTCGGTTCCGTCTGAGGCAGGAGGTTCTGGTAGACTCACGGTGGCTGATGAAGAGCTCGGTGGGAAGCTGGCGGCGGGTTGGTTTTGATAAGGAGGGAGGAGGCTGGGAACCGGAAGCTCGGTGCTGGCAACCGGAAGCCGGGTGCTGGTTACCACGGCAACAGAGTCCAGTTTCGGAGTGGACTCCGGGGACGAGTCGGAGGTGGAAGGGCTGATTCCCAGAGGGGGGAACATGTCCCAGGGGTTGGTGGAAAGCAGGGCGGTTGGGTCCGGGAAAGGAGCGACGTCCTCCATCAAAGGAGGGGAATGCTCACCTGCATTCCCCGCATCTCCCGCATTCTGAACTGGATCGCCACCTGCAGGAGGGACACGGTAAGTACTTTCTCAGGTTTGCAGACAGTATGGCACCCAGTGGGGAGTTTGAATGCAAAAACAGCTGTCAGATACTATGAAGCGATATTAGGAACAAGCTAAAAATAATAACGAAATGAATACAAAAATAAACTTGTACAGAATAAAGTCGTAATATTACGATAATAAAGTGACTTTATTCTAGTAATATGACTTTATTCTTGTAATACCATTTATATTATTTCAACTTTATACTGGTAATATCACCTTATTCTCATATTTATTCTTGGAATCTTTTGACCTTATTTTTGTAATTTTTCTTTTTATATTTTATTTTTCCTTAGTATGGTTTTCATACTCTAACAGAAAAGGATGAGAGCCACAGAATTAGGACTTTTTCACAGAATTGGGACTTTTGATCTCAGAAGATTAAAGAAATAATTGTGATTTATTATTATTATTATTATTTTTACTTCAGTGGTCCTAATCATGTTCTAAACTACTTTTTTGATATTCCACTGTTGTTTGGCGCCCTTTTTACCCTGGCGCCCCTATGGGTCTACAGTGCGATACTGACCTGCGGGATCGGTTATCTGCCACGCCACATCCTCCACAGGGCAAGCTTGTTCCCTGCTCTCATCCGGAATGAGAAGCAGCTTCGCCGGGACGCTGAAGCTCGGTTCCCCCTTGTACCTGACCCGGTCCAGGTCCCACCTGGTGCAGCTCGGAGGCGGGGTGTGAGTAGAGGTGGAGGGTCGGGGGTTCCTCAGAGCCAGCAGTCTCTCCCGGATGTCCCGCAGCAGCGTCTGCAGGCAGTCGTGCTGCCACTCTCCTAGCAGTTCGGACAGGTCCAGTCCGGCCTGGCTCCGCTGGGAGTCCTCCTGACCAAGAAGGGACCTCCAGGTTCTGCAGATCTTCATCCGGACCGCGGCCGAGCTGGTGCAGCAGGGCGTGTTGTCTTTAACCGGACCCGCCGCGGTGGTGGCCAGCTCCCCCACTGACAGGAAGAACCGGCTCTTGGTCTGTTCTGGGTCCATGTGGAACCGGAGCCGGTAGTCCTGCAGACACACGGTGGTGTTCAGGAGGCTGCTGAAGCACTCCCGGTCCTCCTTCTCCTGGAGCTGCTCCCAGCCGGAGGCGGTGAGCACAGCCGGGATCTTGAGCTCTCCGTCTGACAGGAAGAGCAGCCCCGTCGGGCCATCGGAGCCCCGAGCCTGGGACTGGGTCATCTGACCCACCCCGATGACATGAGCCCTCAGCTGGCTGCCCGACTCATCCCCGCTCCCGTAGCTAAGGATCAGATTCTCGATCCAGGGAGTCAGTTTGCTCCAGGGGGGCATTTGCGGAGTTTGTTTTCAGCTTGACGGAGTGCGCCTGCGATTAGCATCCGACAGGAAACTAAGTACATAAAATGGGTTCCTCCATAATAAATTGTTCAAAAAGCTTTTTTCAAAACCTTCATGTACTTTTACATCAGTTTACAAACAAAACAAGGCAACAATATTAATACAAAGTTTCAAATTTTACAGAGTTGCATATATTCAAAATTAATTTAGAATAATGTTACACAGAACCGAATACGGAGGTTTACCACAAATCAATGTTATTAATCAAACTACAAAGTTGTTGAGCAGATTTACTTTGAACCAAAATCAACTTAGAAAATGTTTCCATTGACATAAATTTGGATTAAGTTTTAAAAGTCTGCATTTATGAACAACAAAAAAAACTTTCCAAGTATAAAGTTACTTGTTCGCATAAGTGAAGAGTGAAGACAGAACAATACGTGTACAAAGCAATGCAATACATATAATTTATCTGGGGGTTTTTTCAGGAAATGTAAATATTTTCTTTTGTGTTTTTCTTAAATGGCTACTGCTGAATACTGCAAAAATAAATACATTGGTTTAATAGAAGTAAAAATAATTTTAAAAAGAATTAAATAGAAATTTTGTAAGATAATAGTAAAAATAAGATCTATAAATAAAAGTACCAATGTAGCTGCTACTATACTGTGAATGGAGGTTCTGCTGGAAAATATGACAGAGCTAGATGTGGAGCACAAAATAAGACTGGGTTCATCTCAGTATTTGACAGAATACCGGGAAGATTTTTGCTTTTATTTTCCTTGCAAGTTTCTTTAACATTGTAATTGCCTCTTTAAATAATGGATTAATAAATCGAAGTCACGAATGACTGTCTGCTGCTGTATTTGTTTACTTTTTTACATAAAGCTTATTGGTGGGACGCTATTACCTGAACTCTTTCCGCCCAGTTCAGGAGACGTTCATGAATCCAAGACAACTGCATTACACGAAGTTGTAGACGCATTTTTATACAAATTTCCCACCAATTATTAGTATAAATGAGTAGCTTTGTTAAATATTTATATATGTTGATAAATACACATTTAATTTATGGTTATTCTTCTAATTATACATTCTGGTGTACATCTCGTACAGTTTTGTCCTATGTTCCTGAATGCAGCATGTAACACATGCCTGTAACGTCGACTTCCAACCTTTTGGAGTGATCCATGGTGTTCTGAGTGCAGTCCGGGGCACTCCCTGTGCCCAAAAATACAAAAAAACAAAGAAAACTTCAGGTAAGACTTTACAACAAGTACATATTCTAATAGAAAACTACAGCATGTTGTTTTAACCCGCGTCGAAGCCGTTAATATACAATGTAGATTGTTTTGCGGTTAGCGTAGCTTTTCCTGCCAAACTTGATTTAAGAACTGGTTACTTTAAGACGTTCCAGCTTGCAGCACCTGTATGCGCTTGCTTATAGGAAATAAACCTTGGTTATTTTTAATAGTGGTGTTTTTACAAAGTATTCGGCTCGGTATTAGATAAACATACTAACAGCATTAATTGGCAAACGTTTATGAAATACAGTGTGTACACATCTCTTGACAGAAGGAGACCTGTCCAAGTCCAGATATGCAGAACTCCACATCCGGTGATCCCGGTTTGACGGTTTCAGACCCGCAGCACTCCCAGAAGCTCCTGGGAGTTCTTCGGACCTTCTGGCAGGAGCAAAGCTTCCACGATGCGCTCCTTGTGGTGGATGGAGAGGAGATCCCAGTGCAGAAAAACATCCTGGCTGCAGCCAGCCCTTACATCAGGTCAGACAGTCCTCCTGCACACAGCTGGTCGGACATTTGTTGTTTGTGGCAGCAGATTGATGGGTGTGTTCACTTTCATTAGCTGGGAGTGATTCCAGGCAGCTTTTATTTTCATGTTGTGACATATTTTGCTGTGAATAATTTCGTTTCAGGACCAAACTGAACTACAATCCTCCTAAAGAAGATGGATCAACCTACAGAATTGAGCTGCAGGGAGTCCCCATGGCCATCATGAAACAGATCCTGGACTATATCTTCAGCGGGGAGGTGATTCCCAGCTTTTTATTCTTAAAATGCACTGTGTCCTCTCATTTATCTGGTCAATCTACACATGATTATATATATAAAAAATAAGATATTGAAGTCAGAAAGATGGGAAAAATTAGTGCAAAGATGTTTTTGTTATGGCCTATATCAGTAATGTCCAAAGTTTTTGCTCCTGGGGACAAAACTGACAAATTTAAACTACTGACAGGTCACAAAATTCATGAAATTTAAAATGTAAAAATGTGTTTATTACTGTAACATACTAATTTTTACGAAAGATATAAATTTGTAAAGATTCAAAACATAAAAACAGACTTTGGACTGTTCCTGCAACTAACAGTCATTTTAGTAACTGATAAATCTACTGATTATTTTTGATGATTAATTAATTGGATGAAGAAAAATGTTTCATCTAACCCTTTTTATATGTTGACACAAATATGATTAGTCGATTATTGAAATAATCTTGAACTTATTTACTAATTGTAACATATTCAGACAGTAATTAAGAGAGAAACTGTAAGAAAAATATCTACATTTTGCATTTAATGTAAAAACACCTTTTTCTGTAAATATGTTTCAGCCAAAACTCCCATATGGCAGTTTTAGCTTCACCTGGTTCAGATTTACTAAAGGAAACATATTTATTGCATTTTAGGCAGTAAAAATTGTATTTTCTTATTTAAAATTAGAATTGAATAATTTCTTTATTTGCATCTTTTAATGTTTTTCTAATAAAAAAGCTTAAGTGATTAAATGAAAAATATGTAGAAAGTGGCATTTTTTATTTGATTAATCAGAATAATCAATTAATCGATCACTAAAATAATCGTTATTTGCTGCACTAATAATATGTAATGTTAGAATTTTTCAGAGAAGCTGAATTTTGAGGATTTTATTCTCTGCAAAGCAGAATCGTGAAACACCAGTACAGCTGTTGGATTTGTTTCGTAATCCCAGATCACCCTGAGCGAGGAGACCGTCCAGGACATGGTGCAGGCGTCCGACCTGCTGCTCATGACTGACCTGAAGCTGCTCTGCTGCCAGTTCCTGGAGAGCTGCATCACGGCGGAGAACTGCATCGGCATCCGCCTCTTCTCGCTGCATTACTGCCTGCAGCACGTCCACTATGTCGCCACGGACTTCCTGCAGACGCATTTCCGCGACGTGGCGCTCACCGAGGAGTTCAGGGAGCTTCCCCACAGCCGGGTGTGCGAGCTGCTGAGCATGGAGAAGCTCAACGTGGGCAACGAGAAGCACGTGCTGGAGGCCGCTGTGCGATGGTTCGCCCACGACCCAGACTACCGCAGGGTGAGGAAGCTTCACGTTCTCCATAGCTGATTTCCAGCTGCTGGGCCTGTCAAGATGATAAGTTTTACTGGATGTTATTGTGACAAACGATAATATTGCCATTTAGATTAGGGATGCACCGATTGCAATTTTCTGGCCGATCACCAAGTATCGATCTTTGAAAAGCCTGACCTGCCGATTCCAATTTTTTTGTCTGAAATGTTGCTAAATATAGCAAGAAAGTCGCTGAGTTGGTAACAGTGGAGTTACGATTGTTAACTGCAAACGTGCAGACCTGACCTGGTGGGCCAGTCTGTCGATCAAACCTCATTTTTAGGCATTTGTTGAGGTAGATAAGATCAGGGGATAAGATTGACTCCAAATATAAGTGTCAGCTGATCTCCCAAAATGAAGGAAGTAAATTGGTAAGCCGCTAGTTTTGGGACTGTTTTCAGGTCATATATTTATAATGGTATAATAATGCAAGAACACATTCTCAAAATCAATAAGCATTAAATTTAATTGAATATTTAACACTGGAATTGCAATACATTTTAAATATCCTAAATAAATAAATAAATAAAACAACAATTAAAATTAATTATGAATTGCCTGTAAACAAAATTGTCCCCCAACAAGGGACTAGTTGAGACCAAAGTACCAGACTGAAGACTTTTAACATCCAGAGAAAAACGATAAATAATAAATTCATCATGTGATTAATTGATTTATTGTGACCGGCCTAGTTGTTTGCCTTCACAGTTTTTCGTTTCTGTGTCTGCAGGTTCATATGAAGGAAGTGATGTCGGCCGTGTGGATGCAGGGCTTGGACCAGAGCTACCTGAGAGAACAGGTGCTGCGGCAAACAGCATTTTGCACATTAGTATCTGTAGATTTTAATGTGTCATTTCAAGTTTCTAATCCTCAAAACTCTGAAGGTTAATTAATGTTCTAATAATATAAACTCAAAGAAACTGAAACACTTTATTCCTCCATCACCTCCAGCAGACACTGAACAGCAGCCATGATTTCCTACTGATCATTTTCACATAATGTGATGAAGTTGAATTATTTTTTGTGTTTTAGATGTTTATTTTGTGTCATGTGATCAGTCCATGGCAGAGCCGCTGATGAGGGAGGTGGTCAGGGAATTCTGCCAGAAGGTTCTGACGGAGGATCCGCCGCAGGGCGAGGCGATGCTGACCGCCTTCAAACCCCGAGGTTACTCTGAATGCATTGTCCTTGTAGGAGGAGAAGATCGAAGGTAGGAATCTTTGTTTTCATCTTCAAGTTGAAACACAACTTACTGCAGAACCACACAATAACATGTTGGTAGCTGTTTGGGTCCTCACTTAGCCCGTCTTAATGATTGGAAATTAAAATTACTTCATTAATTTTCATTCAGATTAATATTTTTTCAAGAGCAATTTTGTTGACAGTCATTATGATCTATTCCATTAATGGTTTTGGTTGTGTGTGTGTTTTTATTTTTTGTTTTTGGTTGTCATGTTTTATTTTGGACATTTAAAATATCTTCCAGTTCCAGTGTTAAGTGTTCTTTACAAAATTAAAGTTTATTGGTTTTGGTATTGGTAATTTATATATAGATCAATATATTTCCATGTGTGTTCTAATTTTATGTGTTTATTTTAAATATTTATTTTATAGTCAGTCATATTTAAGTCACTAACAATGTCACACTTATGTATATTTTTTATACATTTAATGTTTAACACTTTGGTTGGAGTTGCTGTCAGCATATAAGCAGTTTCCTCTTGGGGATCAACATTCTATATATTCTACTCTATTAGTATGTTATACTACTTGAAAATGGTCTCAAAACAACAAAATTGTTGTTTATCACAATAACTTCTGTACAATTTATAACCCAGCAACATGAAAAAGTTAATTAAGTTCAAATCATTCAGTTATTCTT